TATCACTGAAGTTGCAATTCCATGTCTCCTGCTTCTGAGTTCACATGCGGGGAAAATATTTCTCTCTCTCTCTCTCTCTCTCTCTCTCTCTCTCTCTCTCTCTCTCTCTTCTGTCCCTGACAAAAAAATATCCTCAGACTAACCTGTTGGAAGATGAGCCCTGGTTAGATATACCCTCAATATATAAGAATATCCATCTGAGATCAGAAAAGCTACCTAGTTGACCTGAAATTAACAATAGTTAAATGAATAAACTTTGTTGAATCTAGTTTAGATTCTAGAACCACCCAAACAACCTATAGACACAAGAGAAAAAATAAATGTCTATTATGGCAGACTTCTAAGGTTTACTGGTTGTTTGTTTTGTGGCATTATTACAGACTTAGGTAACTCATACATCAGGCTAGTTGAATATGGATCTAAACATGCAAGAGGATCTTAAAATTGACTCATCTTCCCTCTAAATCTTGATGTCAGAATGATGTGATATGGAAAATAGGGAATATCTCCCCTAGAAATGCAGTTCCAGGCATGGCAAACTCCAGCATAACATTTATTGAAAATTATTTTTCCAGGAATTACATTAGGCCTTGAGAGTATAGTAGGAAGCATAGTTCTAAAAGAGATCATCTTCTGATGCACCTGAACTTTAATTTACTTCAGACATGCACTATTAATTTACTTAAACCAATTGGCACACTTCACATATTTGGGTATCTCTATTCCCAACTAGAATCACTTGACTGGACTTTTTGGAATGATTCTTATTGGCAGCAATGCTGAATAGGAACTTAATTTTAGGAGTATGACCTCTTCAGAATCTTTACTCTTAACCCCAAAGTGAACTCCACCAAATTTTTCTGGGCTATGATTTATTTAAATTTTACTAGTTCTTATCTTCTTCCAGGGTTTAGGCCCTTTGGTAGGTATGATTCATTGAGGTCAACTGTTGTTGCTTCCAAAACACAAGACTCCTGGGTGGAAGAAACGGAAACACTTAGTGCCAAGTTTTCTGATCTTTGATCCAATGCTCTTCTCAGTTACATGATTTAGGAGGAATTATTTGACCTTTTTGATCTGGTTTTCTCATTGGAGACATTTTGTTGATGATGATTTGATTGCCTCATACAAAAACAATGCTGTTGAGAACTTTAAAAGTTCTGTTTCACTATAAACAATGATGTTCATTTCTCTTAAGCTGAGATTTTTTTTTTTTATCTGCCGAAGCAAATGGCACAAGGCAGCTGCACTGACGGTCCAGCTCTCACATTAAGTAGAGTTGTTAAACACACAACCACATACATACACATACACAGAGACAAAACTCTGCTTACCACCAAGCACACCTACATTCATTTTAAAATTACATTGTTTTCATCTTATTTTTTGTGAATGTGAGAAGAAACCTAGAGGACTTCAGTTTCCTTGGATCCCTCAATATAAGATGAGACCACTGGGAGAACGTGCCTATAAAAGCTGCACCCACAGCCACTGCTAACACACAAAAAAGAGGCTGCCTTGGTCTATCACTGTTGTGAACTTCTTACATATAGAATAAAGTTCATTTACAAGTTTAAAATGGCATAGACAGGCAGTGAGTATGTTGAGATATTGCTTTGTCTCTGGTTGTAAATTGTTAATATGAAGCGGGAACAGTAATAAATCTGGTTTATTAGTCTGGATTCTCCAGAGAAATAGAACCAATAGGAGATTTATTGTAGGAATTGGTTCCCATGATTAAGAAGGTCAGCAAATCTCAAGATCTGCTTTCTGTAAGGTGGAGAACCAGCAAAGTCCTTGGTGCAGGTCTAAAAGTCTGAAAATGAGGTGACCCATGTTCAGAGACAGGGAACATAGATGTCTCAGCTCAAGGAGAAAGAGCTAATTTGCTCTTCCTCTGCCTTTTTTCTCCGTAAGCCCTCGGTGTACTGGGTGATATCCATCCACATCAGTGAGAGTGATCTTCCTTACTCAGTCTACTGTTCAAACACTGATCTCTTCTGGAAACACCACCATAGACACACCAAGAAACAATGCTTTATCAGCTATCTGGCTATCCCTTAGCCTAGTCAAGTTGACACATAAAATTAACCATCACCCTAGGTTCTGTTTTGGTCCTGGACAATGAAAAAGCTTATCCTGTCCCAGATTTCTCATCTGCAGTATGGACTGGGCAAGTCATTATTGGTTTTTTGTTATAGTTGTTTTTTTGAACTAAATACCTATACATTGCTAGAAAGTGCCAGGCTTTTGATCTTTATCTGGTATGTTTTTTACATTTTTGTCTTGAATGAAAGTTAAAAAATATTACTTAAGGGTTTCCCCCCATTGTGGTACTTTACACCATTAAAGAATGAAGAGATAAAGGAAATGCAAAAGAGTATGTGAAGTCCTTACGTAATCTAAATAAACTCAGTATCCTGGCAAATGTCATTTTCATATGACCTTTCTTACTAAAGAAATAAACCAATTAAAAATTTACCAGATGTTATTGACATGTAAATTTGACTTCATTTTAATTGCAGATCATTGGTTTCTGGATACTGATTTCTTTAGCGTTTAGGTTTCATTCTGTTTTATTGTTCATGAATTAGCTGATTTTGTGCATCATATCATAACATACATAGAATCCATGGTCAAATATCAGAATCTGTATTCTCTGAACATTAGCGAAAAGTCCACAGCTCTATACATAATGGTTTGTTGTGAATTTATAGTCTTCAAACTTAGCTGAGCACTTAGCACAGCTTACCAATTCTGGGGAGTTGGGCAGAATATTTGAAAGTTTGACTACCCTAAAATAGTTGAGAAGTTTAGTATTTAATGTAGGGTCTGAGGAAGAGTGGCCTTGCAAAAATTTTAGCTTGAGCTCTGACCAGTATGGTTCAGTTGGTTGAGCGTTACCCTGCGCACCAAAATGCCGCCAGTTCAATTCCTGGTCAGGGCATATGCTCAGGTGACAGTTTCCATTCCCACCAGATATTGTGTTTAAAGGTTTTTGTGGCCTGTTCCTTACTTAGAATTTTGCAAATTACAACCCCAGCTTTTTTTCTTCCTGTATTTGGACTTGTCTTGGTTTTTAAAATCTTTTTTGGTTTTATAAATTGAGCTCCTGAGCTTAACAGTCCGGATTATAAATTTTGGACAATTTTCTTGAATTCTAAACTACTTTGTTTACATAGTTTGTGTAGGTTTCACTTTCTAATTCTGCATTTTGGATCACATAGAATCTTGTCCACATGCTGACCATCTGCATATCTGGTAAAGTACCTAGGGGATAAGTTCATAGGAGGATGAAGGGATGGGTTTGGAGTGGTTGGGAGAGAAACTTATTTAACCAAGATCAATTAACTGTTACAAGATCACTGATGTCACAGTGTGGTGATCAAGAGGCCTTATGTGTCTTTCTTTACCCTGTCTACTAATGCCATTTATTTTCCACTGAAACTCCAAGAATAAATAAGACTGCTGCTTCTAAAAGGTGTGAGTTTTTCAAGAATTGTTGAAGGGCAGAGGGAGAAACAAGGTTTTAAGTCTTCCTAAAGGTCATTTGTGATATCCTTAAAACCTGCGCTCTTGTGCAGAAAACACATTGCAGTTTAATTTTTCTGTTTCCTAGAATTTGGACCTTACAAACTTGAGCCTCAGTCATCTCCGATCCATGTTCCCAAACAAGTTCTCAAACAAATTTCCTCTGGCTGAGTTCTTACAACATAGCTCTTGAATATCTTTCTCCTGGAAAATCAGATATCCGTACCTCTCTTGCCTATTTCATTACTGTGGTGTCTATTGAATGCTAAAATGTCAAGGTTATATTGTCCCTTGTGGTACTAGGGCCCAGATGTTGGTAGTCTTTGTCCTTTCTCTGCTTTGAAGGTGGCCCTCTCTCACAGGGTCACTGAGGTATGACACAGTGAGTTTATGTGCATGACAATTTTTACCTCAGAGGGAGGGATGCTCAAGATAAATTCATATACAAGAGATAAATGACAGACACACCGCCCCTGGTTCCTCACTTTGCTTAAAAGCTTTGCATATGTTGCCTGGCTGGTTTGGCTCAGCAGTTGAGCATCAGTCTATGAACCAGGAGATCGCCAGTTCAATCCCTGGTCAGGGCACATGCCTGGAGGCAGTCGATCAATGATTTCCTCTCATCATTGATGTTTCTACTTCTCTTCCCCTCTCCCTTCCTCTCTCTGAAATCAATAAAAATATATTTAAATAAATAGAAGCTTTACATATGTTAAATAATCTCTTCTGGGCTTGCTCTCCTTCTCGCTCCAATCATTGATTCCTTGATTTCATTTTCTCGCTTCTTCATTGGTACTTTTCACCCTGTCTTACGAGACTGTTTTTCTTTAAATTCTTGGGAGAACAAAGTTCTATCAAAAGCCTTGAAACCCAGGGCAGCCCCTTGACTTCAAAGTGAAACTGCTTTCCGCAGTTACCTAAATAGTCTTGAGGAATAGAGTCCCTGTGATCTTTCCATTGGCAGTTTACTGAAGTCTTCTCTCTATTTAAGAATATAACACACTCATCAGACTTCTTTTGTAAGCTATGCTTCTATTCTCAGTCATCACATTCTGAATATCTTCCGTCTCGTATTTTATATCCAGTCTTTTTTTCACCTTTCCTAATCACAAAGCTAGTTAGCTCCTTGGGGCAGTGATTTCGCTCTATCTTTGAATTTCCAATACTCAGCACAGGGAGAAAGCAAATGAATACAAGTCTTAAAGCTCTCAATTGCTTTAAGCGTCTGTACTTTCCAGCATTAGCATATTCTTCCCACATCACCTTACAGAACTTTTCAATCTCCCTTTTCTGGAAAGCACCTACATCTATATCAAGCTATATGCATGCATATCAATAGTCAATAGACTATGTTCCTTGTGGTCTGATATGATCCACTTACATCAACACACTTTTCCTCCACTCATAATTCAACTAATTTGGATCCAGCCGGAAGGAATTGCCTCCCTTTCCTTCTTTTTCTCCTACAGAACCTCAGCTTTAACGTGCACACAGTTCCAAAGTCACAAACATTGAAACAGACGAGGGAAAAAACAAAACCAGCCCAAGTAATGAATCTCTTCAAGAGTATAAGGGACTGGAGCAATTTCCTAGGAAACTCACAATAGAGTAGCCCCAGGATGTTCAAACTAAAATCCTTGTACTCTGGAAATTAAAAATCAGTGGTTGAATTTATTATATGCCTGAGGTCTGCATCTTGTCACATGAGACAATTCACAAGAAGGGGAATTTAAAAGAATAAAATTGGCTAAGCCAGAAGCATGTTTCACCAGATGTCAACATTCTGTCAATACCCTGCTTAGGTGCTCCTTTATTTTGTATCTGCTTTATCTCTGCACTCTTCCCTTCTTCAGGCACCAAGACAAAACTCAGCAGGGTTGTTGAAGCAACTTTTATCTTGACAGCTTTAGTATTTCATCATTATGCCTTTGTTTCCATGGAAAATGTCTTCCCACGCTCTTAACTGAAAATGACTTTCTCATTAAGCCAGAGCTTTTGCCTCTTTTTACATAACAAATGTATACACAACCCACCTGCTTCTGGGTTACTTTCCATCTGTTCTTCAAAACAAATCCTATTGCATATAAAAACAGCATTTTTCTTTTTATGGACATTATGTCTTCATGTAAATGGAATTTGTAATCAACTTGGGTTGTCTTTTTAGACAACAGACATGTTTCAGGAACTTCACGACAATTGATTTACAGAATATCCTGGTGATGAAAGGCTCATTATTCTATTTGTTTTATATGGAAACATTTCTGATGGACAAAGGGCAATTTAGATTTTATAATATGTAATCACTTGTACTGTAAGTTCAACAAAAAAGAAGTCTCCTTTTTAAAAATATTTTTATTGTTGGGAGTACTACAGATGTTCATGCTATGCTTTCTCCCTCATGCTCCCCACTATCTGGTTCCCTTCCTGCCCCAGGCCTTCACTATGTGTTCTTGGGCAATACATATATGCATAGAAGTGATTTAGTTAATCTCTTCCTGCCTTCCCCACCCCCTGCCCTGTGAGATTCCTCAGTCTGTTTCATGCTTCTATGTATCTGGATCTATTTTGTTCGTCAGTTTATTGTGTTAAATGTATTCTCATTATAAGTGAGATCATGTGACACTTGTCTTTTCTGACTGGCTTATTTTGCTAAGCATAATACTCTCCAGGTCCCTTCTTGCTGTCTCAAAAGGTAAGATGTCCTTCTTTTTTATAGTTGCATAGTATTCCATTGTGTAAGTGTACCTCAGTTTTGTTTTTATTTATCCATTCATCTACTGATGGGCACTTGGGCTGTTTCCAGAGCTTAGCTGTTGTAAATAATGCTGCTATGAACACAGGGATGCATACTTCCTTTGAGGAAACTCCACGCTGTTTTCCATAGTGCCTGCATTAGTCTGCGTTCCCTCTAACAGTGTACTATGGTTCCTTTTTCTCCACATTTCTTGCCAGTACTTGTTGTTTGTTATGTTATTGATGTTAGTCATTCTGGCAGGTATAAGGTAGTACCTCATTGTTGTTTTAATTTGCATCTTTCTGATGATCAGTGATGTTGAGCATTTGTTCATGCTCCTCTTGGCCGTTTGTATGTCCTCTTTAGAGAAATGACTCTTTAGATCCTCTGCCCATTTTTTAATTAGATTGTTTGTCTTCCTTTTGTTGAGTTGTAATATTTTATGTATTTTGAAAATTAACCCCTTATCAGATGTATCATTCATTGACAAATATGTTCTCTCATACAAGGGATTCCCTTTTCATTTTGATGCTGGTTTTTTGTTTTGTTTTGTTTTGGTTTTTTTTGCAGTGCAAAAGCTTTTTAGTTTGTGTTGTCCCATTTGTTTATTTTTTCCTTTGTTTCTCTTGCCCTCAGCGAAAATTCTGCTGCGTGAGATGCTTGATATTTTGCTGCCTATATTTTCTTCTAGAATATTTATGGTTTCATGACTTATATTTAAGTCTTTTATCCACTTTGAGTTTATTCATATGTATGGTGTAAGTTGGTGGTCTAGTTTCATTTTTTGCATGTACCTGTCCAATTTTCCCAACGCCATTTATTGAAGAGACCAGACTGTCTTTACCCCATTGTATGCTCTTCCTTCCTTTGTCAAGTATTAATTTAGCATAATGGCTTGAGTCAATTTCTAGTTTTCTGTTCTGTTCCAGTAATCTATATGCCTGTTCTTGTGCCAGTATCAGGCTATTTTGATTATAATGGCTTTGTAGTATAACTTAATATCTGGTACTATGATCACTCCTACTCTGTTCTTCTTTCTCAAGATTGTTGTGGCTATTCAGGGTCTTAGAAGTCTCCTTCTTAAATCAGAACTCAAGTGGAATTGAAAGTCATACCATCCTTGGGGTGTCAGAGCAATCAGGACACTGGGATCTTTGCCTTGTATCCCTATGGAAATTTAAAAAGAAAGCTATTCATACTCTTCCCAACAAATGTACATGCATTGGAAAGCTTTCATACTTATCAGGGTCGCTTTGTTCCGCAGGGGTCACAAATCATAACCCTGGTAAAGAACATTTGATTTAATCCAACTCTTCATTTTTGATGACAAAAGAAAACAAAACAAAACTGAAGCTCACAGAAGCTAACAGATTTATTTAAGGTTCTAATTACTTATGTCTTCTAAACCATGTTATTTATCTATTAATGAAACAATTATTTCCATAATAGATTGTGTTTTATTATTTTTAAATGTTTGGATGTTATATCTTCTTTTATCACTGAATACATTTATAATCACATTAAATTCAGTCACTTTTTAAAAAATATATATTTTATTGATTTTAGAGAGGAAGGGAGAGGGATAGAGAGATAGAATATCAATGAGAGAGAATCACTGATAGGCTGCCTCCTGCACGCCCCCTACTGGGGATGGAGCCCACAATCCAGGCATGTGCCCTTGGTCGGAATCAAACCTGGGACCCTTCAGTCCACAGGCTGATGCTCTATCCACTGAGCCAAACTGGCTAGGGCAAATTCAGTCACTTTTATAAAGAAACCAAATCCCCGGAGATTAACTCACCTTCCAAAATTTACATAGGGAGAAATATTCAGAATATTTTGAAGTGAAGCCTCTTGTATTATCTTGCCCTTTATGTTTCAATGATCTTAGAACTGAAGCAGGTGTTTCATTATTATTGCTACATTTACAATTATTTTACAATAAAGAATTTAAAGAGATAATAAAGCCTTTAAGGATATTTCTCCAAAGGCAGAATTGATTTTACTTTTCTTTGATATTATCTATCTTATTTTTTACTACTGGACCACATAAAATATTAAAGAAAGAAAAGTATTTGAAAAATACTCCAAGAAAAATGAGCTGAAAATTAGAATTTCACAGCTTTTTTCTATTCCCTTATGCACAGAGTCTAATAATTCTTGTCTTTCTAACATGAGGCTGTGCAGTGATTTAGGACAGCATAAATCATTTTAATGTTCTCACTCAGTTGTAGGAGAAAAGAAAATAGCTGAATTTATGCTAAAAATAAACCTCACAGATTTGCTGGATTGCTCGACATTCTAGTTTAAACAACTGTCCTCGCTCTCGGAAAGCTAATCCTGCCTGGCTTTTCACTTTCCCAGGAGATTGTTCTAATAGATTTTTTAAGCTGTATGTTGGATAATTGTTTCCACAACTAGCACAGATTGGTTTTCTCAAAATAAAAAGATGAAAATAAAACTTCTATCCAATTAAAATAGAGCTATTAATACTCTGCTGTGCTGGAAAGGAAAAGCCTGCTCTTCAAAAGCCCGTGCCATTTATCACAGAAACATAAATTTTCACAGCAACTGAAAGAGTTGGGTAAAAAATTAAAAGTTTATGAAGAATGAGAAAAGCAGACAATGTAGCTTTTGTAAATAGGCACATGTGTAAATATTAACATCCCTGAAGGAGGGATGCCTTCACACTGACTCTACCGACTTTCCACCTCATGGAAGAAGCTTCAACAGGGAAAAGCCCGTGTTCACTCCTGTCTTCTGGTTATTTGTACCATACAGTCAGCAATGGGAAAGATTAACCCAATATGATGGAGGAATTAGATTTAGAATACTGTTTGTTTCCTGATCTGGTAGGTCTTCCTGACATTTAAATAATTTATTGCTTTGGGAACAATGTGCTTTGAAATGTATAGGTAATCTAGCTATTTTTTATATTTAAACTCAAATCAAGAAAAATGCCTTTGTAAATGGATATTCAAACTTTAGGATTTGAATTGCAGTAAAATAGCTGTTGATGTTATCATAACTCAATGCTATCTTATTTCAACAGCCCACTACTTAAAACACTTTGGTGCAAGAAGATCAAGGGTTTAAGAAAGACAAGCACATCAACATCAGTTCAAACATCAGAATGAGTGGAGACATTATGTAGACAGTGTTTTTCAAAGACCTGCATTAAAATTTTCTCAGTTTTTAAAATTGTTTTTAACATTAATTCTTGGATTCTATTCAAAATCCAAAGGATCAGAATATATGAAAACAGCTACTAAGAACATGTAATTTTAACAAACACACCATGGGAATCTTATAAACAAAAAAGTGATGAATGCCATGTGAGAACAAAAAGGCAGAGGGGAAAATATGGGAGAGTCCATCAATGTGGACCTCTTTTGTGACCTGCACTGAGATGGCAGGTGTTTCCGGTTAATGAAGGACCAAAAAATGGGGTCAGCAGTCCCAGAGTAGTGATTCTGTCTGTCGTCAGTATGGATTATGAATATGCTAGAAAACAAAAGAAAAATATTTTATTCACTTAGACCTCCAGGAGTATCTCATTTTGAATTCACTAAAAATAACAAAGAACATTTCTAATAACTATATCATTCAAGGAGTGTAAATTACTTTTCAAATTTTAATTGAGGCCTTTTTATTCAAATTTAAAAATTCTAAATGTAATCTTTAAAATCACTACTCTATTGAAACATAAATTTTTATTGTATAAAGTTCAAGTGCACACAGAATGTTCACACAATAGCTTGTATGCTGGGCCATAAACCAAGTCATAGTACATTTCTGATAAGTGAAGTCAAGAGTATGTTCTAAAAGGACAGATGCCTCCTTTACAACACAAAGCCTGCTGTATGTTTATATTA